TCACTAGTCTGTTGCATATATGTTCCAATGGCGTGGAATACATCGGTGTAAAAAGGGTAAAACGGAGGCGGAACGGCAAATATATTCCATAAGAAGACTCATAGAGAGAAAAAGAGAGTGAGAGAGAGAGAGAGAGAGTTGCGTCACGACGTGTGACCAATGTAATAAAAAAGTTGGAGGTGATCACTTCCGCGGCTGGTTTTATAGTTTTTTTTTGCGACTTTTCCCTACCTCTCTCATTTCCACGATAAGTCGATTGCGTCCACGTCAAAAGTATATTTTTACGAAATTGCGATGTTATAAAAATATGCATACGCGATAAGCATGCATGTGCAATGCAAGTGTGAGATTGCACTGAAGGAGATTATCCCTCTTTTTATTTACAGCATTTTTTGTAATAAGAATTTAAAATGTAATGTGAAATATTCAGTGCCTGATAATATTCAGTTTATCTATTTTATTTTATATATATTAACAATGTGTATTGTTATTTATGATATTCAGAAAAATACTGTTATTATTGTAATTATTATCATTCTTATATGAGAAATATATTATCAGATATATTATATAAAAACTTTTTGTTATTATTGTATATATTACATTTACATTCTTATTAGTAAAATCAACATATAAAAAAACTACAAAACTGCAAGATATCTTCGTATTTTAAATTTCCATTAATCATATAAATATCATATTATAAATATAAAATTTACATTTTCCGAATTTTTGATCATGCAGTTATCTCAAAGATGCAATCTCTTATAAGCTCTCACAGAAATTGCACAAAATATTTTATTTTATACCAAGTTAAATTATCGTGGCACATATATGTATGCTTTACCATCAGAAATTCCAAACATGGGGAAAGACTGAAAATCTCGGAATTATTACGAACGAAGTAAAAGTATTGTCGATGCGTGTACACATATATGAGATTGTTATTTCTCTTACAATAAGAAAAGAAAGAATTCGAAAAATATTTTCTATATTTATGCTCGTAACAATGTCATTTGATGCTGACGGAAACAGGCCGAAAAAGTAGAAGAGCGCAGAGACATCGTGACGGAGATACGTTTCGATAGGTGAGATGCTGCGCAACGAAAGTTTATTATCTCGAAAAATGCGCGAAATGATTTCGCGTTATTTATATCCGCGAATAAATCCTCGAGCAACCGCATTAAAACGCGGATTCTCGCTGCCGGAAGGGAAATATGCGCGAAACGTGTTTATATGGCGCTGTTCCGCGCTGTCAAATATTTATATGCTGTGCTTTATCTTCAAAGGATTCGTCCGCTATGTAGCCCGGGAATGCTGATAAACGCGTATCGATCGCGAGACACCAAGAGAGAGAGAAGAGGGAGAGAGAAAGAGGTAGTAGTAGGTCTGATTATTTCTGCTTAGCGAGGAACTCGGTAAACATCGGCTGTGCTGGAGAAAGAGGAGCTCGTCGCGAAATCGCCTGTAGTGCGAAATTCATCGACTCGCCCGAAGTAAACTCTCCCGAATATCGTTTGTCGTGGTTCGATTAAAACCTCAGTAGCTCTGCTACTCAAAGGGAAATAGAAATGCCTGTTGAAGATCCTGGCTATTGCATTCATATCCTACGCTTAGCACTACATAATTTGAGGCTACGTTTCTTTCCGGTGCTTGTATAAAACCATACGAGATGGTGAATTTAACTTTCAACGATCACATGTAACATATAGGTAGCTCATTGTCAGAGAATTTGATATATTAATTAGATCAACGCGAGAGAGAAAATAAGAAATAAGAAATTAAATGATTTGTTAAGAATTACTAAAAACTATTTCGGAAATAATTAATTGCTTTATATGCGTACACACGGGGTAAATTTTTATTTATGAAATATATATTGAACAATTTTATTCAAATTTTTTAAATGGTTTATGTTTTTTTATTTTGTAACTCTGAATAGAATCTTTGAAGCAAATTGTGCGAGTATTATATAAAAAGTAAATTAATTTTCCCTCTGGCGTGTCTTATGAATCATTAAAATCAGAACCTTGAGATAAAATAAAAAAGAAAACTCAAGATACTGATGTTCAAAGAAATCGTTTAGAGCTTTAAATATATAAATTAAGCTTTATGTCTTTTTTGTCTAATAAATTCTTATTAATTTTTTATTTAATACACACACACATATATATATATGTGTGTGTGTGCGGGTGTGTACATATATTGATTTACTCTGCTTAATATTTATTTAGAATATTTGAAATACATATTTATTTATATATATTATATATTATATAATAAATAAACTTTAAATAGTAAACAGATAAATAATAATGTGTTTTCTTTCTGTAGCACACAGATAGTACTTGATTGCAAGATTAAATTTAATGAATTTCCAACGTTATTATGACCAATATTAATTTCATGTTGTTGCCAAATATGATTGCGGCAAAATATTGATCAAATAAAATCATTATGCAGGTTAAAAAAAGCGACATAAAAAGTAGCTTTGTATCGTGACTATTATACTCCATGAAGCTTAAACCATTGATTTAATATAGTAATGTTGCGTCTGATATTTTTTGATTAAAAAGTAAAGTAAACGTAACATTAAATATTTCAAATTTCAATCTTTGTAGAAGTTTGATTAAATAGCAGTTGAATAATTCAAGGGACGAATAAAGTTTAAATAATGTTATATAGCGTTGAACTTAATGTGTGAATATTCCCAGTTGACATTATCGACATTCGATCATCGGACCTTTGACATTAATCTGACATTCCCATTACGAGAAATCAAATTCAAATATATAGCATAATCAAATATTGTCAATTCGTTATAATAAAAGTCTGAAATTTTTTACTTTTATGTCAATTTGGGAAAAAATTGATATTAAAAATTGAGAATGATGACTCGACATTACGCTGATATTACTTTAAAAAAAAAAACAGCAAATTTAAAAAATAAAATGTCAAATCAATGCTTCCATTTTAATATCAATTCTGCTAATTTAACAGGAGCAATAAGTTCGGAATTTGAATAGCAAATAGTCAATAAATTAGCACTGAAATAATATCATATATCCGAATTTGATTTCTCGTAATGGGAATGCTAGATCAAATCACGAAGCGAAGGCGATCATCGATCCGCGGGAACAATCTACTGATGTACTACAGTATCCGGCCTGAATCGGGAATCGTTTATGATATAATCTCGCGTTTCGGGACACGCGATGAAACATAATCCTAGGATTAAGGCAAAAATAATTGAGGCGGTCATTTGATTGTAAGGGGAACAGACACGCCTCATTCACGAGAGCGCCGAGAGAGAAATCAATATCCGACGTCTCCGCGACAATGTCCGAACGTAGGCAAGTTATGACGCGCGCGCGTTACCAAGACGGCTGTGAATTTAGAAATTGGGACAGCGACTGTGATTAATCGAAAACTTGTAGCGCTTACGCTCAGCCGCTCGCTCTGATTGAAACGCAACGGCCGCGTACACGCAAGTGGAATTACCGATGTTAGGTCAGCCATCAGAGATGCAAGGGGAGAAAATTGTGACAGACGTCGACAGCCAAAGCTGTTCAGACTATTCAATGTTGCTTAAGTCTACTTAAACTCAATTCAATTAAAATAAATCATTGCGTGTTTCTCATATTTGTTATGTGTATATACCTTTTAAGTTCTTAATTTGAGACGTTGAAAATAAATGTAAAATTTATATATATTTCAACAATTCAATATTGCTTAAATCTACTTAAACTCAATTCAATTAAAATAAATCATTACGTGTTTCTCATATTTGTTATGTGTATATACCTTTTAAGTTCTTAATTTGAGACGTTGAAAATAAATGTAAAATTTATATATATTTCAACAATTCAATATTGCTTAAGTCTACTTAAACTCAATTCAATTAAAATAAATCATTGCGTGTTTCTCTATTTGATATGTGTATATACCTTTGTTCTTAATATTTATATCGCTGAATTTAACATTATTCAAACTATTTAAATCTTCCAAATCTAATGTGTTTAAAACGTCAAGTTAAAAAAATATTTGTTCAATAAACATTGAAAAAATATTTAAATATTGTAATTGGTAAATATTAAATATTATTTTTATAAAAAGACCATAATTATAAAAATATAAAAAATATATATAAATTTTACATTTATTTTCAACGTCTCTTTAAAACGCATTCGAGTGATTTAGATCCAAAAGTATGCCAAAATCATTAATTAAAAATATTTAAAAAATTAAGTTTCGACGTTCTATTATAATGCAGCTCAACTGGACTCAAATGCAGCTTCACTGCAGATATACTGTATAAAGTTTTCATAAAGTTTTGAAAAGAGTATGTGTGTGTTCATGTGCACTATCGGTCACTTTTTTTAAATTTTTTATAAACACTTAGATCTTATAAGTACTCACCTTCTGAATTTGCCATTAAATTAAAAATAGAATCAAAATTTCTTCCAGATTCATTAATATATATATATATATAAGATTTATTATTAATCTCACATTTATCTATATCAAAATTTTCAAAATCAATGAAACTAATCAAGCTTTATTTCGTTTAAAAATCAGATATGTTTGCGTAATTAAAAAAATAATTTTAAAAAATTAATTTCAATGTTGCAAAGAAACACAAATTGTTCAGATATGATCGTTTCATATTTTTGATCAATTATATAAATAATCGAATAAATAGATGCACTAATAAATCCATCGCGACGTATAGCACGATCGTGTTCATTATTTACTTGCGCAACGACTCGTTACCTGTTTCTTTTAACAGGCCACGTCGCAGCAGCTGGTGACGAAACTGCGTTTTAAAACGCACGTCAAAGTATATGATGCAATGTGACGTGAAGCTGGAAACCGTCGGTCGCGCAAACGCGTTGCAAAAGTTATGTAGCACGCCTGACATGGCGACTATTGGGGGAATACGTTCCTAAAAATTTCATTCAACGCGACCGACGTTTCGAAAAATTCAATTCACACCTTACCTTTCTTGATATCTCGTACCGCGGTCGACACCATGACATCCTCCTGAAACAAACAAGTAAGTGTTTCATGAAGGAAAAGTTGGCAATACAGATTTGCTTTGGCGAAAAGAAATCTTTGTCTTGTAAGTTCACTCGAGATAGAAACGTGATAACTTTGTTTTCCATTTTTCGTCTAGTTTTTTCATCTATTTAACAATATACACATATATGTGATAGATTTATAAATTATTAATTTTATAATATAATGTATTATATTTTATAATGGTAAAAATTAAATCTTTAAGAATATGTTAAATTGATTAAAAAATCAATAACTTTAAAATTCGAAATGCAATTTCTTATTAAAGATTTAATCTAAACTTCGGGTATTATCCATAATTACACAAATTTCATTAGATTATTAACTAAATTTTCCAAATCTTATAATTCAGATTATACAGGGTGTCTGACGTAAAGTATCACACTGAAAATATACAAGTATATCTCGTTATTTGGAGATGATTTTTCCTCAGCAAAAATATCGAGGGAGGCCATCATTTTTTAGATGTTTCCAATTTTTACCATCATGTATCTTTATAACTGAGCTTTAAATTAAAATTTTATTAAAGTAAACTCTATTTGAAATTAATTGGAGAATGTGGTTTTGTTAATATTTTATTTTCACAAAGCTTAGTTTGCGAAAAATCCTTTATTTTCAATCGCTTATAACTCGAAAATTATTAATGCTTCTATATTTTTGCTGAGGAAAAATCATCTTCAAATAACAAGATCTACTTGTATATTTTCGGTGTGACACTTTACGTCAGACACCCTGTATAACTAAATAATTCTTGTAACTAATAATTTTTAACTTTTTCGTCGCATTTTTAAAGATTAATGATATATCTGTTTCTGTTTCACATAACTTTTCCATGAATATGTATATAGTCTTGAAAAAGGATCAACTCGTGACAAAATGATTAGATTTATTCATCGAATCTATTCCTCTCTCTTTTACGGTAACACGATATGAATGCAGATTTTATCAGCGAGTTGCCCCCTCGATGCTTTTATATAGCATTGCTCGACTAACGCGGATTCATCGCATGTATGCTCTCCAAAAAAAAAGAAAAAAAACGGATATCTAATTCTAAAATTCCATTTTTTTAAAAAGCTTTCAACTTGCATTATCCGTCAAAGTCAAACCAAGAAAAAAATAATGTATTAATTTTATATTAATAAAAATTCGAATTATTTTATCTATTAATATAATCAAAAATTTGAAACATATAATAAAACTGTCTTCAAATTTTTATCAAATTCGAGAGAGAATCATGTGTAACGTGTGCATGTATGAATATTCTGTAATATGTATTAACGAACGACGAGAGCTCTCCCGAAACTCAACATGAAACGCTCGTGCTTTATCATGCGAATAATTAAATAGATAAATCAGAGATTACAGAACGACGATCCTCTAAATTTCACCGCGTTGCGTAGCGTTCACCGGATACCGGAAATGTACGCAATCGTTTTCGGCACAAAAGCGGACTACATCGATTTTGGTAGATTATCCCACATTTGTGCCCGTTTTATGGTCGATCATACTCGTTATTCACCCATTTATCGCACTGCTGTCGAAACACTACCATAACTACTACGTTACAGAGATACGATGCATATACATTCATTTAACAGCGATGATGTCGTCAAGATTTCGATCACCGAAACAAATTGTTTTATCACTCTCTCTCTCTCTCTCTCACATACATGTTAAATAAGGTCAACGAAATTTTTAGCATGTAATTAATGTCGTATAATTTTCTCCGTCAAATAGCTACCGATCAAGAGCTAAAAATAAACATTACTATTACTCAAATAAATCACATATTAATATCGTTACACACATTTTCACGCCATATTTATCTAAATATGTTTTCAAAATATTTACAAGAAAAAAGATTATTATATAAAATATATTTAATAATTTTTTTTTATAATATTAACGATATAAATATATATATAAATGAAACAAAACCTGAAAGAGGGCACATAATAATTATTTATACTCGATATGAAATTTCTTTCATTTTTATGAATTAATATTTAAATATTTCATGGTAATAAGATATTTTATTACACGCATCACAATACAATTATATGTACATATTTGTATCATGATTTATGTAATAAAATATCTTACTGTCGTGAAATATTTACATATTAATAATAAAAATAAAAATACATTATCTCTTCTATTTTAGATTTCTAATATTTTATATATATTATAGCACAAATATATATATATATATTTCTTGATATATTTCAAATATACATGGATAGTGCTCATAGTTTAAAAGCGTATCTGGATTATTGGTTAACACACGCGGCAAAAGTTGGTACAATAAAAAAATAGTAAGCTCGCTTTTATATGCGCCGCAGGAGCAACTACTATGACGTGTGTACGATGAATGAGCAGATACCCGAGCATCGTGATGAAAGGATAAATCCACTTAAAACCTCATCCATTATATCGCTTTCTTCCACGAGCACTCATGTTTCCCAGTTATTTAAAAACCGGGGATCCATTTCGCTGTACAGTTCGCCCCATACTTTTGCGCGCGGTTTCGCAATAATCTCTGCAGTGTCGCAAGCCGCACCAGCGGACTCATTATTTTTCCTCTATTGAAAAAAGAAAACGCAATATTTTAGGACGAATACGCGCCCCGACATTTTTATGTTTCTATCGCAAAAGAGAAAGAGAGAGAGAGAGAGTCGAATTGCACTAAATGAACAACATTTAACGTTGTCGTTCGTTCAGTTTATCAATTTAACAGAACTTAATTTTCTTGCGCTATATAAAAAGCGATTCCTATATGCACGTTTATGTCTGTAAATGAAAATGTAATATTTTACATTTAAATGAGATGAATTCGAGCGCAATTATACGAAATTTTCAAAAGTGTATATTTAAGTTGAAACATATTCAAATCTAAATTATATTCTGAATCAATATTTAAATGTTAAAATGAAAACAGATAAGATAAAATATTGATATTGAATCTTTAATAAATATGTATATCAAATTTTTTGTATTTAATCAGACATAACTTAAAAGTAAAATTTAGGGGAATTATGAAAATTTATAAATAAAAATTTGAAGAAAAAATATATTTAAACATATGTACGTGTTGCAAAAAACTTTTTGATTATTTTCTCGCTTTCCGCGCACAATTCTCTTTCTCATTTGAATAATGCAAAATGGTCGAGATAAAATTAATGCATAAATTTTTTATGATGGAGGATGTTATGCATACTTTATCTATATATCTATGAACAAACACTGATACTCAACGTACGCCAATTATACGGTGTAATAGCAATAATTATTGCCAGCGACGCATTATCGAGAAAGTAATGGTCAGAGGTAATATGTCATTTGGTCAATATTTATTCTTGATATACATACATGATGGCCGCATCGACATGAGTGCGTTTATATCCATCTGTACATACTTGTTAAATAAATTTCATATGCTACGTAAACTCTTTCTTTTCTAACGGCAACAAAAATTAAACAAAAAATAACAAAATATCAGGGGATAATAGAAATATCAGGCGATAACTAATTGGTTTAAATTAATATTTTATCGCATAAATAGCAATAATGCTGCTGTAACTGTATGTATATGATAATCTAACAATTTTAAGACTTTAATTGAAATAAAAATGTTCCGTAACTCAAAATGATTATTCATATAATTTAAAAGTATTATTTTTTAATTTTGTTACTATTATTATTTTGATTTATTAAAAATGTTATTTTATTTTAAAAAATAATATAATTTGTGTGAATAAATCGATATCAATATTATCAATCGTTAAAAGTAAAAAGGTAGACACAAAAATATAACAAATATAATAATTTCTTAATATAACTACTTTTTTAATTATCATATTATCCATAAATAAGTTAATTTTACGATCTCTCAAAAAGAAATGGGACAAGTTTCTCGGAATGCACTTATATCCTAAAATCAGAAGTTCCGGCAGCCAGGAAATTTGAAGATTCTACGATCTAACCTACGATAACCAACCAACAGGTCTTCCGTTTTCCCGCGACCGCATGCTTGTCCAAAGCTCGGCGACCCTCTATAAATCGCGGTCTGGCAAATGGAACTCCCTGAGAAATGCGTTAGGAACGTCGGTGACCGCCGAAGGGAAGCAGCCATTGTGTCGCGCGCACCGGCTGACTTGTGCCGTCGATTACTACTCGTCTTTCCCAACGCTATATTTCAGGAGTCACCAGTGTATTACTTACGTATTAGAGTTCATTCAATTATAAACGTAATCGTATCTCAAATGAGTTAAACACATTATTTAAACAATCATTGTAACGTCAGATGACTGAGATTCGTCAGATAATCAATCAGATGTTGATGACTATTTTCCGGAGATTTCTATATAAAAATCAATCGATTGTAAAAAATCAAAAATAGAAAATATTTTATATTTACAATATTTTTATATATATTTTGCATTTTTTTTAACTCTAAATTATGCACACAGAGAAAATGTACAAAGCGATCTCGAAATGTATTGCTTTGAAAATGTATTTCATCTTCTTTCCCCTTTATTTTTATTCCTTCCGTCGTAATTTGTGTGCACTGCATTTCTCAAGATGTCTCGCGCAGCTTTAATAAATTTTATGCAAATAACGATTTAACAGTAGACCCGATAACCGGGTATCGCAGCTTCTTTTACTCAATCCAACTTGTTCGTGAACCGTCGACAGTTTATGCCGACGAAAGCACTTTGCGTATCTATACTACTGCAAAGTACGAGTATACCGCGAGATGTGTTTCCGAGGTGCGGAAAAAGAAATTCGCTCGGGTATCCGCACAACCGCGTCCCGAATTCGTTTTTCCTTTGTCATTTTTCCATCGTTCCGGATCGTAAAACGAGAACGAGAACTCTCGACGAACTTTATGCGAATAATTAAAGTTCAAACAGAAACGCTCGTCACGGTTTTATCGACCTTTTCGTTGCCGTACTTAAGACTGG